ATAGATAGATAGATAGATAATATAAGATATTAAAAATAAAAAAAACATTTACAGTATTAAAAACAGAAAAAAGTAAATAAAATTTCAAGCGATAAGTATACTTTTTTTTTTTTTAATTGTCCGACATACTGTCATGACAGTCACACGTTGACAACACGAACTAAATTTCCCACGGCACTGATTGGACAAGCAATGTCATGTGATCATCTGCAGCCAGTGATGGCCAAGCGGGCGTGTCATAACTAATTAACATGTTGAGTTGCTGTGTCTTACCCTCCATGGCAGAGGCTCCGTCGAACCCCTGAGACCGACTCACTGAACCCCTGGGGTTCGATCGAACCCAGGTTAAGAACCACTGATCTAAAATAATGTTGCATAGGTGTGCACACCCTCTTAAAAAATTCGAATGTGGCTCAGACTTAACTAATCATATTCAAATGAGAGTCAGCACACACCTGTCCTCATTGAAAGTGTCTCTGTTTAACCCCAAATAAAGTTGAGATATTACAGTAGGCTTTTCCTGACATTGCATGGTCCAAACGAAGTTTCCACGTCATTCTTCAAAAGTGTCAGTCAAGGGAACGGAACAAAAGAATTTTCAGGGCATTAAAATACACCATTGAACACTGTGAAGACAGCCCTCATTAAATGGAGAAAATATGGCACAATAGTGACATTAACATGACCCGGGCATCCCTCGAAAATTGATGAAAAGAAGAAAAGGGGTCAGGGAGGTTGCCATGAGCCCAACAGCAAGATTGAAAAGAGCTGAAGGAATTTCTGTCAAGTAGTGGCTGTTTGGTAAATCTCCCGTCATTTTCATCGGTCTTGGTTGTGAGGTAAGGTGGCAAGACAGACAAAACGTAAATTTGAAATCTCCCATACGCAGGTAGTAATATGATATGGTCTGATGAAAGTAAGATCCAACTTTTTGACCATCACTACAAAATTAAAGATTGGCACAAACACTAAGTTGATCATCAAGAGAAGAACAGAATACCGAGGGTGAAGTTTCATTGGGCCTGATTAACTTTTTATCGAGAACTGGGGTCTTCTCAAGGTGAGTGAATTTTGAACAGTTCCAAATACCAGTCAGTGTTGGTACAAAATCTTCAGGTTTCTGCTAGGAAGAATAAAAAAACCTACCAGAACATCTGAAATTTATTCAGGGTGAATCAACGGCACTTTAAAAGGTGCCAGACTTGTCCTGACTCCCATTTAACATGAGTTTGTCGTGATTGATTCATTCTGAACAGAGCCACATATGTAGTAATAAGCGGGTGTGCACACTCATGCAACCACCAGTTGCATACCCCCCCGCCCTCCTCAAAAAGATTTCATGTTTTTCCCGTTATACAGATTATTGGTTAGATAAAGGTGGATTTTTTTTATTGATCTTTGTCTCACCTCAAATGAGGGTGTGCCGTCTTTTTTTTTTTTTTTTTTGTCCACTGAATGTGCTGTATATATGCCGACCGAAAGAATCATTATTTCATGATACACACTTTCTGTGGCATTTTTGTTTTGTGGTGTGCCATGAGATGTTTCGGATGTAAAATATGTGCCTTTTATCAAGCATCATGGAAGTTGATATGTTTGATTTGCTTTCACTGGATCTGGACATCGGGCCTTGAGTTTGACACCTGTGGTGTAGGGGGAAATAAAAGGGATTTGTGTGTCTGTGTGCATGTTATTAAAATTAGACATTTTTTGTTCGTGTGCCTTGCACCTGAAGCATCCTATCAGTTTCACTTTCACAAAAAATATAAAAAATAAAATCAAAAAAGCAGGTCACCTTTAACCTACAGTGGCGCATGATCTGCATCACCTGAAGTTGTTAGCGGTCAGCAGTCTGCAATTGTAGATTGCAATCAGAGCTGTTCCGATATTTCTTTTTTTGATATTATTATGCATGCACATTCGGTAAAGGGTTGATCGCAGGTTTGTTGTTTGAAAAGTAGGTCTTCGGTCAAAAAAGGTTGGGCCCCCCCTGGTCTAGGCGCATCCATGGGTTCTGATGAAGCGTTGCCTTTTTTTGCTTCGCAGCAAGCGTGCCGTCCTGGTCCTCCAGAATGACCCCAACTATGGCGGCCAGCGGCGCTCCTTCACCACAGAGGACGAAGCCTGGAAGTCATTCCTGGAGAACCCCCTGACTGCAGCCACCAAGGCCATGATGAGCATTAACGGGGACGAGGACAGCGCCGCCGCTTTGGGTCTGCTCTATGACTACTATAAGGTATCCTTGGCGGGCCATTCGCAAAACGTTCTAAAAAAAAAAAAAAAAAAAATCTGCTGCAAAACAATCATATTGCAAAATTTATTAAATTCTTTTTTTTTCTGCCTCCAAATTCTACAGACAACAGCCCATAATTAATCAGCTGGCCAATTCAATCGGAGGATATTAGCTGATTTAAAATTGACAAAAATCATCTTTTTTTTTTTAAATACACATTAACACATTACGGCATGAGACAAAGATAATGACATTCATGATCATTCATATGATCATTCTAGCAAAATAGCAATCCATATTGGAATCATGACCCAAAATCTAGTAAAGAATGGACATTCGCAGTGAGAACATTGTCACATTTTGTAGCGACGTTCGATACCATTCTTTTTCAGACTGATACCAGTATGAGTATCATAGTCATAGATACTGAGTACCGATATCATTAGTGGGATACAATATATACAAAATGTATAAAATTACTTAACACTGATAAAAAATTATTGACCAAACTACTGTAACATTGTGCCAAAAAATGCTGAGGAGGACTTGCTCAAAGTCTGATTTTGTTTGCCTTCAGTATCATTGGTTTATATTGGGCAGCCTCCACGAGTACAGATACCTCACAATAAGGCTGTTATCGGCACTGATAGCGATATCAAGTGGCGGTATTCGTTCATCCCTAACATTGTGCATTCATAGCACATTTGCAGAGCAAAAATGTGCCCATTTTGAATTTTTTTTTTTTTTTGTCCTCACAGAGGATTGAACAAAACGCATAAACTTCCATCCACCTGCATTGGGATGTATTTAAAAATCCACAAGAAATCCACTGGGATTTTTTGGACATCACATTCATCGTTACTCAAAAAAATGAACATTGAAGCTATACATACAGTAATTACCCATCGTTTCCTAAAAGTGGAAATTCAAATTGAGCTGCCGAAAGAGGACGTTAGTAACGATTCAGGCCTGCAACTTGTCCTGCTCCAGCTCAGGTGACACAATCACAGTGGTCTTGCACTCAATCAAAAGTGAACAGAGAGCGGGGAGGGTGATGAGGTAATCAACTCTTTGCACGGTTCAACCATAAGCAACGTACGTGGTGCAACATCTGTGAGGCAGAGCGCGTACCACGTCGCATGTAACTGAAGACGGCAACCTCTCGGGATGTGATGTGGTCAGACGCTCAGCGGCTGTGTTTACCCTCCCATACAGGTGCCCCGGGAAAAAAGAACAATAACCCAGGGCAAGCCAGATGCGTTGGTCTCTGATGTGGATCCCAACAAAAGGTAAGTCCTGACGTATAATGACAATGGGCTGTCGCGGGTGGACTGTTGCATTCTCCCAGTGTTGTGTGCAGTGTCTTCAGTCTTTCTCCAGTGCCCAGTATTTTAACTAATGCTGTCAACGGGAATCTTAACCAGTCAACTGCCCTCAATGTTAATGAGAATGGATGAAGAAATGTTTTGGTCAGCTCTGGCATCACAAAAGCAAAAATTACTCATTTCAAAGTCACTGTTGTGTCTTTTTACAAGAGGCTTGTTTTCTCTGGTTTTATTTTATGGTCCATAATAGATGATTTGGGTGAAACCAACACATGCTTTACCGCTGATTCCTAAAAAAATGGAATAACTTAGAAACTAAGAAATTATTTTTGTGATGAAAGAAGAGAGTCAAATCATTTTTTGGTGGTTTCTGTGGTTAGATGGTCGTAAAACACAATATGCTGTGAGCCTTTAAAGATCAATCAGATTGCTCTGAATTGACTGGCACTCAAGACCTTCTCTTTTTTTGTAAATGGCTAGCATTGAAAAAGTTAAAGTGTCTTCTTACTTTTGGCCCATCCTGTGTATAATGGATTTTTTTTTCTGCAGGCACCAGATTCAGGCAGCACATGGCATCGCTCCTCTTCCAGAGACCAGCATGGAGAACAGGATTCAAGTCCTCAAGGGGCCCTTCAACATTCTCCAGCTGGCCCAGGACAAGAGGAGTCAGTTCCCATCTCCAGGTTGGTGTTTTCGAGCACCTTTGACACATCCTCTTCTTCCGCTGTCGTTGTCTCACTGTCATGCGGTGTCTTTCATTCAGACACGACTGTCACCGTGTCCATCGCCGCTCTGCAGAATTACCCACACGTCAAGACCGAGGTGCCCATCCACAGTTTGACTGTGCCCAACAGCTGCGCCGAAACCGACAACCACGTGGGCGTTTTCGACCGCCCGCAGCTGCCCCACAATTCGGTGCAGTTCAGCCCCAGCACTCAGTCCCGCACGCCCCCAGACTCCACCTTCTCAGAGAGTTTCAAGGATGGTTCCCAGGAGGTGAGTGGAATCCCGTTGCACTCCTCTTCTTTTCCACTCTCAGATCTGGCTCATCAAACAATAGCATTTTCACCCGATCCCGTGGAGCTGACGGTGGGCTCGGCCTCCTTTAGTTTTATTTGAGCATGGAAAAATAGCAGCCAGTGTTTGATTATACCATTGTCTCAGCAACACAAAGTGCTGTGCTCTTTCCTCAACAATAGCCAAAAGCCCTTACTCTAACCTCCTCTTTTTAACCTGAAGGGGTTTACCGCAGAAAAGAAAAGAGTAACCCAACAAAATGTAGAGGGAGGTTGGCGCCGGAGAAAAAAAAAAAAAAAACGCTTCAAAGGATGAGATTGATTGGGAAAGAAATTAGCATAAAAACTATGACGACAAGAGGAAGGCACATTGCTCCGGGGTACAATTGGTGGTCGATGTTTTCAGTTATTTATTTTTTAAATCATTTTGGAGGATTAGAGCATATAACAAAAGTCTCAAATTCACCATTTCCTGAAATTAGGATATTAGTTAAGGTTGACTCATTTTTAAAAATGTCATTATTTTGTTTTTAAGATGAAATCAAGTCAAATTTGGCTTTCTGTGAAATATTTTCTTACTATGAGTTTAACTTTTTTGTGTGTCTTTTTACAGGTGTTTTCGTTTCCAGGTGAACTGCAGTTACGTATGGGCTCCATGACGCCTGAGGACTACAATCAGTTTGACACGGTGCCGGGGTAAGTCACGCCGCTGCCGAACCCATCACCCACCAGCTTTCAGTTTTGACACCACCCTGCCTCTCTTTCTTTGGGCACCAGACTCCCCTGCTGTTGGAATACGAAACAACTGTTATCCATCGGGATGTAACCATTCACTCAAGCCCCGATTTGATTTTCAGCTTCCAATTTTGATTCAGTTTTTAAAAAAACATTTAAAAAAAAAAAAAAAAACGAATGACTATTCATTAGGGTGGTCCATTTTGGAAAAGTTTGTCGGATTCGTCGGGCCGGGTCGGAAATCTTGTCGATACTATGACACAAGGATGTGTGCAAAATTTTATTCCGATCGGATAATTTTATCCCGTCCCGCAGAGCGACCAAAGTTTCCCCTATGGAAAGAATGTTACGGGGCTGAATGGTAGTACGGTTTCTCCCGTACAGTAAGGATTTTGTTTTGCTCAGTTCGCACTTGCAATAATTCAAAGACGGAAGACAGGAACGCATGTATTGCAAAAAAGGCAACCGTGGTTATCCTTCAACACTGGTGAGATTGTTGGTCCATGTTAACTGGTCCATCTGTCTATCTGTCCATCTGTCTATAATGCGCGACTGTCTGGAAGTGATCCGATCCGTTTTGCATTTTTTTCAGGCCGGGAGTGGTGC